GTGTACAAGTATGTTCCTCACAGTCTTGTTTTCATCTGCGTAAAATTCAATATGGCGTCTAACCTGATTAAGGTCTATTAGAATGGACTGCTTTCAAACCAACTGCAAATCAATCTGAAGTCCACCAGAACTGTACTAGGGAAGGGAATTTTGATCATTTTGTCAGTTGACAAATAAATTAGATGTGCATATGCCCAAAATTTTGTTTTAAAAAATAAAAATATAAAAAATTAAATGTTTTAAAGTTGAAAAGTCTGCATTTATTACCTTTTCATAATCGCACATTACCAACTGATCAATCCCTAAAAAACAAGCATACTCACAAGTTTTCACACAAAGAATGCTGCACCAACAACACAAACCTGAAGCTAAAAGTACTAGGTCTGCACTAAAATCTCTATTGTGGGGGGAAAGGGAGACTCTCCAAGCAAAGAGAAACATTTGGCAATCACCCTGAAAACCTGAGAACTTAAATAATTCAGCTATACTGTGTGTGATTGCACATTGGTGGATGCACTGAGGTCCTGCAAAGAATCAAGCCAATTCCAGGCCTTGACTATTGAAGAATTAAGTTATTTGGCCACTCCGAGACATGCTGAAATATTGGATCGGGTGAGACAGCAGGATGGCATGTGGTATAACAGCGTTCCACAGGGATGCTCAGCCCAGCAGCAAGTCAAGGCTAAATCGGGTTCATCTACAAGCCTCACTAGAGAAGCCAGCTATGAAATGACATGACATCACACATGTACTGACAGACTGAAATATCACAGTCCTTTCTTACTTTCTTTCTTTCAAAAAAACATGGAGGAAGTCATTGTGGCACCTGACTGAACACAAACACAACATCTATCAAAAATCCACATGCAAGATCCAAACTACAACAAACACTGCATGGCAAATAAAGCATCATTCATGGTCTTAAGCTAGACAAACCCTCATGAGACCGAGTCATACTGTGCCGTTTAAGCATTTTAGCAGCTGAGACAAATATCTACTGGGTATAAGACCACCAGGGAGGCAGACACCACAGTTCAGACCACTCATGCTGCAGTCAAAATACCTTTGTGTTTGTCTTCAATTAACTCTCATTTATTTATACTCTTGATCCAGTCACCCATAGCGAGCAGTTATTAGCACAAAAGTGCTAAAAACAAGAATGCAAACATAAGAGAGCAGAACTTGAGGAAGAAAACGGTTCTGTACCTTTGCCCTTGGCTTGAGAAAGGAGATGAAAGGCAACAGAGAGATCAAGAGTATCCACAGAAGGTAAGCATGGAGAGATATGAAGAAACAATCAAAGCACAGTTCACATCTATGCATTCAAGGTTCAGAGTTACAGTTTAGCCCAGTCAGTGCACAGCAATTCAGTCAATTCAGGCATGCAAAATATAATCAATCTCGTCAACAGAGTGAATACAAGTGAAGGGGTGTGGCATACCTTGATCTGCCATCATGTGTGCAAATCCTTTGAGAAACAGAAAAAGTGACAGAAAGAGGAGAACATCTTTAGGTATGTATCAGCGGATACAATGACATCACATCTTTGCAGAAGAAAAGGTTTATGAACATCTTAATTTTTAAGTTTAATTTTGGAAATGAGTTTTAGTTTGTTTGTTTTTTTACCTATTGTGACGGCTCAATACATTTTTGGTAGTAGAGTGAACTTAAATAAGATATGTTGTAAATATATTAGGAATATAGTCACCTATAGACAAATATAGTCAAAAACTGGTGTAGAATTTTTTTTTCACTTAGAAACTGCTAAATTTGACAATTAATTACAAATAAATGGCAAGTAACACATTTAATTAAATGTAATAGAAAGGCTGAAATAGTATTTCCTCGTAAAACATACTCCAATAATCTTTGTTTTGTCTACAACTTTGAAAAATAATTTTTTACAGTGTGGTGCATTTTATTTGTTTAATATAAATGTGACAAAGTATGTTGATTTTAATGATTAATGTAGTGATTAAAGGGGTCATATGATGCTGCTAAAAAGAACATTATTTTGTGTATTTGGTGTAATGAAATGTGTTTATGCGGTTTAAAGTTAAAAAAAAGAGACTTTAGTCTTTGCAACTTTACAGATCTTCTTTATGCACCAAGAGCTTGTAACACTCCAAAGAGAAAGGAAAAATTGAAATCGCATCATATGACCCCTTTAAAGTCAAATTAAATTTTTCCAAATGCATATTATAGATCTTATTGTGAACAGTTTTCATTTTAATTTTTAATTTTTTTTTATATCTATCCCTACTTCTGCTTCATCACAACTTTATGTATTTTTTATTATGATAATTCTGAGATTGTTATATTTGAAAATATCTGTTTATGTTCCTGTACATTTGAATACTTGTGTACTCTACACCATTAACGCTTTCACTGCCCGTAAAAGACCGCTTCAATACAGCCTTAAGGATATTATCAACTCACCTGGGATGCTGTTGGCCTCTGATCGTGTTGCAGCAAAGACGACAAAATGGAAAAAAGAAAAAAAAAAGAGGAGAGAAACATTGCAGCCATTAGAGCCCACTCATATTTCCTTTGCATGAAAACTATCATGCAAACTCTGACACACCTGCCAGCATGCACCGAGCAGACATCTGCCCTGTGCATGTACACAGAAACCCTTAAAATGCCCCTTGCATCCATCCATCCACTCCCTCTTCTCCCTGGGAAATGAGGAGGGGGATCAGATCTGTGGTGTATGAACACCATGGCACACCAACATCTAAGAAGTTTAGTTCCTCTTCCAAGACTTACACACACTCCCAGAGCCCACATCCACGCCTGGGTCATAAATCCAAACAGGCAACAGAACCTGCTCCCTTTAGAGAGGGTTGTGGATTTACGGCACGCTGATGTTTGTCAAAAGCACTGTTCCATACTCAGAGCCTGGTAGCGTTTACTCTCATTGTAGACACACTCTTTCTCTCTTTGTGTCACAGGCCGCCTTTGGCACTGAAGCACTGGGCTGACTTATTTCATTAATGCACTCTGGTCGTCTCCCAAACCAAAGGGCATCCAACACTGATAAACGGGCATTGCAATGCTCTGTGTGATGAATAACAGCTAATCTACTATTTTTCTAATCTGTTTTGGCTAGGGATGGTTCATGATCATCCGAACATCCAACTACTCGATTTGTGAGGACAGCAATTATCAAGCTTTGATATAAATTAGGAGTGGTGCTTTTATTGTGTTCAACTTAAGTTGTTAAACATGGCAAAAAGTATCTCTTAAAATACAGCCATTATGTAGCATTTAGGCTTTAAAAAAGTAATTTATTTATTTGACTTAAAAAAAAAATAGACAAAATTACATATATACATTTTTAAAGGTTATTTTAAAACCCTTTAGATTGAGTAAATACTCTAGTTTTAATAGTAGAGCGGGGTTTAAACGGGGGAAGTCGTGGAGAGTTGGACTCGTAACCCAAAGGTTGCGGGTTTGAGTCTCAGGTCCGGCAGGAATTGTAGGTGGGGGGAGTGAATGTACAGTGCTTCACTTCACTAAACACATGTTCCTGAAGTGTTACAGATTATTTTTTTTTATAAATTGTAAATGTGCATGCATACAGTATGTACACATATACATATATACACATACATAGATATTTTTAAATATTCATAGACATAACTATTATTAGGTATACATATTTTTAATTTATTAATATTTAGCTAACTTTGAGATTATTCAGATTATTACAATAAATTATTTCATATGACTCCAAAGAATTGCAGATTTTACTGTAGATTTTTTAGTACCAGACACCGACAGGCCGAATTAACCAATTTATCTGTTGCCAGTGCACACAAACTGCATCTAATACAGGATATTAAGGGAAACCTGATGGGGTCTGCCTCCATGAAATGCTTTTAGTGCAGAGCAATTATAGCTACACTAGACATTAATTTAGTCCTGTATGTGTTGATGTCTGTACTGGCTGAAAATGCGATATGTTGTCTCTCATGGTCACTCATTTTCGGGACATGTTCCAATGTGTAAGTGAGTGTCTGTCTGCCGTGCTTGTTAAAGACTGGTACAGGACATTAAGTCCTCTGATGAGATGCATTAACCTGGTGTGGAAAGTATTAGGATGTGATTGGAGAGTGGGGAATGCTGAGTTACACTCGGGATGTGAGAGCCATGATGACTCGATTGATGTGTTCAGCTCTTGAGTTGACCTGTACTGAAGTTCTGGCTGGAATATGAATGTCTACATGCACTGTCAGCCTTCTACGATGACCTAGTTTCTCAGAAACAGTGGTGAATCAGAAATTAATGTTTATTTGTGGCACATCAGAAGATCTTTTCCTTAAATTCTCAACAGCAACAAGTGAAGAGTGTTTTACTAATTTAATCTAGATCCACAACAAATTGTAATGATCCCTGCAATAAGGAGTCAAGTGAATACAATATGTTTCTCAACACATTTAGAAATCATTTTCTAAAATGTGTTAAATTATTAACCATAATACTAAATTGCATTTTCTGAACAATTTTGAAAAAAAACTAGAAAAGGTTTAGTGTCTTATCCTTAAAAAAACAACTCTAAGTTCTATATATCCTCGTAATACACTTTTAAATTTGCTGTGTTTTCATTAAAGGGGACATAACACACACAGTTTCACCCAATCTCATGTTAATCTTGAGTACCTATAGAGTAGTACTGCATCCTTCATATCTCCAAAAAGTCTTTAGTTTTATCATATTTATAAAAGAAAGATACAGTTTCACGATTCTCTCCGAAAACAGCCGAGCTCCTGGAGGCGCTGATTGCCAATAAAACACAGACATTTGATGCCGTTTCACTTACCGTCTGCAGTTCTGAATCATTCATGACCGGGATCTTTTAAAGCTGGGACCGCTCCATCTTTCAGTATCAAAACGTTCGTCAACAAACACACTTGTGAAACTCCTTTGCTGCCCCGAAAAACAAACTGCATCCACTGTTGTAACGCTGGGTTCTTCGGGAAGCTGAACAAAGTTATCTTTCCCTTACAACCAAAAACACTTCTTTAGAGACATG